TTCAACAGAATTGCGACAGTTGAGGACAACGATCAAAGAGAAAAGGAGAGGAAAGCACCGAGCTGTCGTGATGAAAATGCACCTGTCCACACAGCACAGGGGTCAGTGACAGCAGCAAACGAATTTGGGTTTGCAGTCTAACCCCACCCTTCCAATTCACCTGAACTAGCACCCTTGGACTTCTACCTGTTTCCTAAACTCAAGTTTCACTTATGTGGTCAACGTTTTGATGGTAATGATGACGTCATCTATGCGGTATAGGCCAATCTGGGGGGTCCAGATGCAACCTTCTTCCACAATGGGAAAAAAAGCTGGAATATCACTGGACCAAGTGCATTGCAGTTAGAGAGGACTATATTAAAAAATAGTGTAAGAAAAATTTTACTGCCATGACGTTTTCTAGGTGAGGCCGAGAACTTTTTGAACACCCCTCGTATGTACATCGCACAGCGGCTTTTCAGAGTATGTGTATACACCCCCCAAAACACCACTTATTACCTGTCAGTTTAAATCCATTTTATTATGTAGTTAATGTCATTTTGCGGCAGACTAGGAGAAATGTGAGCTCAAGCCTGGACCTTCGCAACCTTTTCGTCAATTTTTACCGCGCACTTCTGAGTATAGCTCGAACGAGTAAATAATTCCATGAATAGCTTTAAATTGCAGAGTTCCTCCACGGAGGTTGCCCGGACAGCCCCTACATTGTGACGATTGCAGTGCGTGGAATGCGTATGTGATTAAAATACTAGTATGTATTATACACGAGGTGCATCCCTAACCGAAGCCAGGTACTCATTTCAAAGAGTGATCGAGGTGTAAAGTGCCCTTCCATGAACGGAACAACTTTCGAGCCAGCAGCTGCCAGGGATTCGAACCCAAAACCTGTAGATTCTAAGTCAACAACTCTTACCACAAGACCATCTTGCCACCTTTAGTTACATGTACGTTCTTGAAATTAGCTTCACTGCCTAGACAAGGCCAAGTTATTTTTTTTATTGCACATGGAAAACAACAAGTTATGATTAGAAATGTCCTTTATCAATATATACATCTCATCACTGGTTCCAAAACGCTATTTCATTTTCACCCACGGGAAATTTACTTTTGAAATCAAGGCACGTACATGTATATCTCTTATGTAAAAGGGCTGCCAGGTATATATACACGTCTTTGGAAATTAGTCTAGATGTGCCAGGAAGCAAGTAAGGCATTTCTATTATATATGGATATTATATATCTTATACCTATCCTGGTGCCATTATTAACTACAAAAACAGACAAAATAAACGGATATCTTAGGCCACACTGATGTGATTTTATGGATGACATCCGCGCGCATTGATTTTCGCCCGTTCTAAATCACCAGCGGTTATAATAAATGGAGGATGGCACTCGCTCGGGCTACCAAGACTCAAGAACTCATAAATGCCAGCATGTGCCGGCAAGCCGTAAAAGTCGCCATCTATTCGCCCGTGCGCACTCGTTTGGGAGTCTTCAGAGGATGTCATCCATAAAATTAAGTCAGTGTGGCCTTATTATTACATCCATTTGATACAACAATACACATCAGAAGTGATCTTGAAGCAATATTTTCAAAGCCGTGGTTGACGCGTACGCCAATGTAAAAAAACAACATTGTTATTCATCGATATCAAGTAAAACTGTATATGTACTGCATTGCTATGGTGTCGTATCCCTGACAAAAATGTCATTCACCTCCATGAAACTACTGCAGGCATTACTAGTGGAATTGAAGGGTGAAGGAAGGGTCGGGGAGTAAGAGGCAGCCGGGGGCACTGTACTGGGGCGCTATACTGGGCACTATACTGGGGCACTATACTGGGCACTATACTGGGGCACTATACTGGGCACTACACTGGGCACTACCCTGGGGCACTACCCTGGGACACTATACTGGGGCACTGTACTGGGGCGCTATACTGGGCACTATACTGGGGCACTATACTGGGCACTATACTGGGACACTATACTGGGGCACTACACTGGGACACTATACTGGGGCACTACACTGGGGCACTACCCTGGGACACTATACTGGGGCACTACACTGGGACACTATACTGGGGCACTACACTGGGACACTTTACTGAGGCACTACACTGGGACACTATACTGGGGCACTACACTGGGGCACTTTACTGGGGCACTACACTGGGACACTATACTGGGGCACTACACTGGGACACTACACTGGGGGCACTATGCTAGGGCACTATGCTGGACACTGTACTAGTACTTGAGGCACCATACTGGGCACTATACTGGGGCACCATACTGGGACACTATACTGGGACACTATACTGGGGCACCATACATGTACTTGGGGCACCATACTGGGGTACCACACATTTAGTGTTTTGGGGCCACACATACTGTATCTTGTGAATACAAGGCGTCACGAATTTTGGATGTTAGATAGCGCTTGTGTTATGGAAGAAGTGACTGAAGTAATAAAGTGACTGAAGTTAGTGCATAATACATGAATACAAAACTGTAACTGTATGCTATTCATGGAAAGAAAACTGCATCCTCATATTTAACAGAGGATGGAAGCTGGATTTTCAAACTCAGTTTTCTGCTCATGTTTTAGTCTAGTAACTTAAAGTGAAATCAACTCTATCCCATAGCATACTGATATCTGTGAGCGATGTAAATGTCAATATCAGACAACCTCACTCATCCTGAATATTTTGCCGCCGTGAAAATTGCACGGGATGTCATTACCACAAGTTCAACTTCTTCTCCCCAGGGCTGACAGGTAACACACGTACACGTACATGGAAATTAGTCTATGTGTTAGAACAAACAAAAAATTGCCACAGACTCCAAGACCTTGTCTGAACATTCTCCACCAATAGAGTGCCTTTTGCAAGGCCTTTATTTTAATGCGACATTTTTGTTCCACCAATAGAATGTCGTATACTGTCTCCAGACATCCAAGGACTGTGATAAGATAAGATATGATATGAACAGAACAGCCAGTCGGAGATGACACACCGCCATGGTGAGAAGAGAACCTTAAACTTTACTGCCGATGTTCTGTCAACATCCAGTCGTCTAAATCACACTGTTGAGAAAGATTGCCAGGTCAGTGTCAACTCTTATTGAAACTTAAGGCATCCAATGCAATTTCAGTGTGGGAAAACAAAACAAAATATCTTGAATGAGGAAATCTGTCCGACATATACCGCCGTTTCCTCATCATTTCATAAGTGTTTGAAATATCCTAGAAACAAGCTACGTGAGAATTATTTAAAAAATCGACTTCGAATATCCAGTAATGCCGGCCTGAAATCGCAATGGATGACTTTAAAGGCTTTTTCAGGATGACCTTACCAGTGGTACTTAATAAGTGGTACTCTATTCTGAATAGAAAAGTTCTTTTTATCACAACCATTTATTTTTCAAGCCGACGTTTCGATGACCGTCTGCCATCTTCATCAGGGCAATTCTGACCGGTTTACTGTGCACTGATGTCACAATATGTACAAACTGTATGTCACAACTGCACTATGTTCGGAAACGGATTGTTAACAGTAAAAACTAGCTTAAGTGCACTGTGAAACAAGTAACAGTGCACTGTGAACAATGTAACACCTTTAGTGCACTATGCACCAAGTAACATCTAGCGTCGGTGCACAGTAAACCAGTCAGAATTGCCCTGATGAAGATGACAGACGGTCATCGAAACGTTATCTTTGCTATTCATTCGTTTACCAACCTGATGAAATTATTTACGGTATTCTATTCTGTTTAACCATGCTACCTTTTTGCACAGCTTCTAAGCTGGTGTGTTACGCCGAAAGGCGGTTATACCGGCTATACAGATACAGATTGTCACAGAGCAGACTAAACCGCATTTAAGCATAAAACTACAAATTCACAAATCTCGGACAAGGCGTTTCCATAATATATACTATCTTCAGCTCCGTAAAGCTAGCAGGCAATAGCTACCACAGGTTTTTCTATCTAGCTATATGAAACTAGCCTGGGTGCCATCCTCTGTAGTTTTCGCCCGCTCCCTAATGTGGTGCCCAGCGACATTATATAGGGAGCGGGTCGGGAAAAAACTACAGAGGATGGCACCCAGGCTACTATGAAATAGGTGATGATCACATATTCCAATACAATACTGATTCACGGAATACATTTTAAAGGCGTCTAGTTCAGTTTCATGGCGGCCAAACTGGATTTCCAAAATGCATTTTTAATTCTGGTAAATCTTTTAAATCAAATGTAGTAAGCTGAATGAATCCTATCTCATACTGACATCTTTGAGGAGAACTGTCACTGACGGATTGCATGTTGCAAACTACTGATACATGTAACTCAAAAGGCAATCCGAACTCTACTACTGGACAAAACAGGAATTTATGTTTGACGCTTTGGGCAACTCTTCGTCAGTAGCACTAGAATGACAGTCTTGCCGGAGCTCAAGAACTCATTACAGTGACGCTGAAGAGTGGTGGATGTCCGAAACGTCTGAAAGTATCTCCGTATTTTCTCCGATGTTTTTAAAGTACATTTTACCTGGATGCCTAACTTTTAGAAGTCACTTTGAAGCATCAGATATTTATTAACAAAGCAGAAAAATAGGAGTGGAAAATGTAACAAGACTGGCAATGAAAACATACTTTGCCATGGTGACGCCGGTTGCTGTTATGGTTATTGTTTGCATGGCACTGCCATCATTTCATCATTTTGAGGAAGACTTGGTACCTGTTAATTCTAGACAGATACAGTGCACTCCTCCCCTGAGACAGTGTATAGTGAACGAGCCCTGGGGTGACAGAAAGTAGGGCCATCTGGGGCACGGAGGACTTTACCAAGGGTTTCCAGGAATGTGGGCATAGATACGAGTCAGAGACATGCCTGTGGACATTCCATTCCTATGGACAAGATGCCTGTGTATAGTATTCCTAGAATTCTTGCAAACTGCACACAATACCGTATTAGGCTCATCCCTGAGACGTCGCCAAAATGTGGTGCATGGCAATGGTCTCGTATCTGTGTCAAAAATGTCATTCATCTCGAAACACAGCCCACGCTTCGTGCGTCATTTAATCACCTCACTACTTCGGTAGCGCAGAAGAGTTCTAATATGTCTGGGACTCGGGAAACAAGAAGCAGCCTTGGGCACAATCTTGGGACACTACTTCCGTAAACGTCTACTCCACAGCCTTGAGGCATAAACTCCACGTCGCTAGAAGAAGAGCCCTCTGTTTCCTTTATCTTTCTCACTCACTCACTCACTCACTCACTCACTCACTCACTCACTCACTCACTCACTCACTCACTCTCACTCTCTCCCATAGCTTAGTCAACCGTCGGGGCAGCATGTTCTTTGGCCAAGGTCGTCTACTGCCTGCGGTCTTCTGCCAGTCTGGCTGTTAGACTGGTCCACTCCTTTATCTTTACCACAAATAAAATTCCCTTTCAGGACACTTTTACATGTCTGGTGTTATGCAAGTCCCTGGACGCCCCTGGTATTAGCACAAAGTATGCAGTTTAATGTTTCCATGTTTAAAAAAAGAGAGGGATCCGTTGTTGAATTATCCTGTCTCGGAGATTTTCAAGCAAACCATTCTGCAGATCCAGAACAAGCTGCTAGGGGTCCCAAACTCATGTGACTTCTTCCCGAAGACCAGAGCCACGTACCATTCAAAATTCTTGACCCTAGCATGTCCAGATCTCGAAATATCAAAAGCGGAAGTTGCGCTGCAGTACCAAGGGAAGCCACTAAGGGGCCCAAAATCTCATCATTTTCAGTTTTCGCCACATCCTACCAACCCATTAAGTATGAAACCAATCCATACAGGCGCTCTTGAGTTACCTTGTTGACCAACAGACAGATAAACGCAACTGAAAATATAACCTTCATGACATTTCATATCATGGAGGTAACTAGAGTTCCACGATCACATACCCTCGCCAAATGTGACTTTAATCTTTATGACTGAATATATATACCCCCAGAATATGCACATAGGATCCTCATTTCCATGAATGATATCAGTTGATCATATTCTCCACCAGACAGTCTTATCTTAACAAAAATGCCATTCTAGCATTTCCTCATAAATTATGCAAATGGTGTCCTTATTTGAATAAGTTTTGTTTAATGATGTTCACCTTCACTTCAGGTAGCCATCATTGCTGAATTACATCAATTTATCATTATTTATGCAAATTATTCTTAATTTACATAATCAACTGTTAATGACTGTTTTCCCCACGTCATTTCCAGGCTTCAGATTTTGTTTGAACAAAACAGTCACCGCTGCACCATGTGAGTTGGAGGCACTTCATCCTGCACACAAGGTACTAGTATCAGGTTAGTCATCCTGCACACAAGGTACTAGTATCAGGTTAGTCATCCTGCACACAAGGTACTAGTATCAGGTTAGTCATCCTGCACACGAGGTACTAGTATCAGGTTAGTCATCCTGCACACAAGGTACTGGTATCAGGTTAGTCATCCTGCACACAAGGTACTAGTATCAGGTTAGTCATCCTGCACACAAGGTACTAGTATCAGGTTAGTCCTTTTAAAACTTTTTGTGTGTTTCTTGATCACGAGAGTTCACATGGATAAGACTTAAAACACCGTGAAAGAATTCCTAAAAGCAATGTTGTTTCTTCTTATGCTGGTAGCTGTCCCCATCTCTTTAGCAAACCCCTGCCTACCCCCGTGTAAGAGAGAAAGATGGGATGAATGTAAGACCCCATCATGGCAATCTGCAGGTGTGTGCATCCTATGTAAGCACCTGGAAGGCGCAGTTGTGAGGGTTACTCCTATGCCTGCTGTACCCTGCTTGTACGACACGCGAAAACTGGCAATACAAGGCTACCCATTCCGTGTGCTATCGGCAAAGACGCTACCAGTCCCTAACCGTTCTGAAGTGGAAATGTTATATCTGTTAGAGGATGAGATCCAGGATATAGTGGAAAACGCCTTGAGTGAGTTTTCTAAAGCTCCACACGTTGGGTCTGGACTTCAACAGGTTGACTCGCGTCAGAAAGAGCTGGTTCACGGGGTTGGTGAAGCTCAACTTCCTGACCTTGTCCAATAACAGAATAGCACAGATTGATGCAGGGTGCTTCGAGCAGTTGAAAAGCCTTCTCAATCTGAATCTTGAGCACAATCTGCTGCGGGCCGTAGACCCAGTTTGGTTCGCTGGCCGAGTCTATCTGTCGTTTCTATTCTTGGGGTATAACAGAATAAGGAACATTCCTCCTAAAGCACTTGAAAAAATCCGTATCTTTGAATTGGGTTTGCGGGGCAATGGTCTGTCTTGTCTGGAGTTAAGGGTCTCACGAGGTTTGTCAAACCTCCATATCAGTGGCAATAGTTTGATTGCAGTACATGATGCAATGCTGCACAGAATGACATGGAGCCTTGACATCGAATACAGCAGAACAACAAGAGAACAGCAAATACTTGTCGAAGTGCACAACTTTCTATTCTGTGTCAAAATCGATGACAAAGGAATTAAAAGGTCTTTTGGTTGGACTTATGATTCTGAAGATCCAGAGATCGTGCCGCGCCCCATATCCAAAAGCTATCGTACCAAACTGTGTAGCCGGATGCCTGTTAGAAAATCCTTCGTTGTAATTCCTACTAATAGCTTTCCACTCAAAGAGGAAAGCCATTACTCGCCGGACAAATGCAGACAGATTTGGGGGCATGATCTTGGTGTTACAGTGGCGTTGAGAGATGGCTCAAGCTTGCAGCTGTCTTCTATGCGCGCAGGCAGCAAAACAGGCATTGTCATCATGGTTATCAACGAAGAAGATAGGGCTTTAGTCAGCAGTACAGACCAAAGAGGAAGTCCAAACAACGCGGTTAATACAAACACTGACCACGCCACACATATTACCTGCATTCTGCTCTCTAAACAGAACCCATCTCCGTTATTTCTTGATATCCCCTCAGTCCAAAAGAAAACTCACGGTAAATGCCCGGTGCGCAACACCAGTATAGACCTAGATCAAACGTCTAATCCAAGGAGCAGACCAAGTACTGAACAGAGCGACTTGCAGACGGCGTGGGGCCATGCCACAAAATCGCTCATGTCCACACCATCAACCAGCACCGTCCAGACTACTCCGGATCAACATCTTTCAGCTCCGAATTTGAAGTCCATCCTGATCCCGATTTTTAGCGTAGTGGCGGTAATCTTGTTCTCGACGTTTCTGATAGGGGTTTTGATGAAGAAGTGCCAACCAAAGTGGCAGAACTGGTGCTTACAGGCAAACATTGATCATGGTGGAGACCACGTAGGTCCACAGGAAGGTACTGTCCTCTCTGGTTTCCCTAGGTCCATTTCCCTGCCTGTTCTCTCGTCCCCAGACGATGTGATACCAGACGACGCAGCCTCCTGTAGGTCACTGCCTGCTGCCCTCACTTCCATTCAGCTGACTTACTGTGAGATACCGGATGACATAGCTGCCGCACAGAGACCACTGCCTGCCCTACCCACACACTTATCATTCACAGATAACGCTACGTATGACCTGTCAGGTTTGACAAGCCAAGGCAACCTTAACAGTTGTACACACCAGTACGGTCACTCTCTTGTTGTGCCCTGTACCTCACTGCCTGCTACCATTTACTCTATCAACACCACCGACAGTTTCGCTTTAGGCAGTACCAATAAACCCATACCTCTCTACGGTGCTGCGGAAAAGCCGACTGGACAAAATAAACAGACCAACCGTGCTAGTTTTTCACCTAGCCACAAGTCCACGGAAGGCGGGCTTCTCCCTACATATGGAATGATTGAAGATGCTAAACACAGTTCCTCTTTGGAGGGATGTGAGAATCCTAACATTTACAGGCAACGGCCAGATGCTCAGAATAATGCCTATACTATAGGGGAAGAGCCTCGAAGCAGAACATGCAAAGAGCCGTCGGTACCGATATCACAAAACGCCTACCGGACAAAGGAGACCTTAGCGAAGGGAATCCAAAACATAACACGAAGGAGATCGCTCCCTTGATCCTTTTAACACTCTTTTTGCAAGATGCAAGGGAATCACCACAAAGCACATTTTGCAAACATAACCTACAACAGCACATTCATGCCAACATGCCTATACGTTAATGAAGGTTAGACATCCAAGTAATACAATACGCCAAAAAGCAGTTACTCAAGCAGATGCATATGATTTTGAAAGCGTCAGACGTTTCAGCTAGTATCCACTAGTTTTCGTCAGTGACTGAGAGACCAGAGGGGAAATGCAGGTTTATAAGCACAAACTATTGATTGATATGCCTATACCAAATGCCTACTAGTACTCTTTCGGTGGTAACTACAACAATATAACGCCACAAAAAATCCCTACATACGCATCCTATAGCTGCGTAAAGCCCATGTAACACATTCAGAACCTTACCCCGACCAACAAACAATCAAGGCTGGCTGAACTTCGGGAGCAGTCTGGCCAGATTAAGATCACGCTTACCTTTCGATAAGGAATGAATCGACTTTAAGTGAAATTTGAGTCAGATTTGACTGCCCTAGCCTGCCAATTACCGGGTAACCATACCAATACTCCCAAACCACCAGCCAACCAATCCCAAACCATGGCCCAACCTCCCATTCACTCCCGATTTTTTTAAAAACATTTTGGCTGGATAGCAAAGTTCTTTCTATCACAACCATTTTTTTTTCAAGCCGACGTTTCGATGACCTTCTGTCATCTTCATCAGGGCAATTCTGACTGGTTTACTGTGCACTGACACCAGATGTTACTTGGTGCATAGTGCACTAAAGGTGTTCCATAGTTCATTATTGCACTTAAGCTAGTTTTTCTGTTTACAATACATTCCGGAACGTAGCGTATTTGTGACATACATACTAGGTACCATTTAATCATGTATTGTAAACAGGAAAAACTAGCTTAAGTGCACTATGAACTATGTAACACCTTTAGTGCACTATGCACCAAGTAACATCTAGTGTCAGTGCACAGTAACCCAGTCAGAATAATGCCCTTATGAAGATGACAGACGGTCATTGAAACGTCGACTCGTGAAAAATAAATGATTGTGATCAAAGAACTTTGCTATTAATTACCTAGCTTTGTTTAAAAATTCTGACATTCATCATTAAAACACATGTAGACTATTTACTAATCATCTTAACTACGGCGGTTGACATGTATGAGCAAACAAACTAGCTACAGATGTCACTGTACCAGAAAAGCATTGTCAGCAACTTCCCTAGCTTTGTTCAATTTAATAAAACACAAGTCCCGTACACGATTTAATAATCATGTCTGAGACTGTGAGAGTCAGGAAACAGGAGGTAGCCTTGGGCGCTATCTTGGGGCACTACCATACTCGATAGTCTTGATGAAATTAGTTGAGAGTCAGGAAGCAAGGGTTCTCCACAGCCCTGAGGTACCTTCCCTGTACACATCGCTTGATTGGCATCATCACCTGCACCACCTGTTCTCTAAACACAACCCGTCTTTTTTAATGAATGAATGAAGACCTTTATTGTACAAACATACCCACTGGGTTAGGTACAAAGGTTAACTTGAATACACAAATATATACACAACAAGATCAATCTAGTACTAGCACCACAGTCTGTTACATAATTTAGACTTCTCTTTGCTTCTCTGTAATGTTGAAAAGATAAGAACATACGAGTTTAAGGATCGGGGGTTTGTCTAAATTCATTAAAAATGTGAATTTGCTGTATTACTTAGGTGTGTAAAGTGGGGAAACATCGATGTTATCCGTCTATAAAGTTCAATTCTTGCACTGTTATACAAACTACATTCTACTACAAAATGAAGTCATCTTCTATTCTATCTAGATTGCAGTATCGACAAATACGTTGTTCCAGAGGAGTGCGGTTATGTCGACCGGTCTCAATGTGTAGTTTATGGCAACTGATCCGCAGTTTTGTGACGACGGTTTAATATATTCATAATGTGCTATAGTGACTGTGAGCAATACCCACTGAATGTACAAACACAAGGTAAGAATTCAGTTTAGTGGGCAATCAATGGCTCACAGCTGCCATGTGTTCTCAATTACAATGAAAGAGATGTCGGTGGACTCTAACTTTGAACGACTGCAGGCCGTTGTTGTCGATGTTACCCACAACGGTTTCAGGGAGTTGGTTCCATATCTGAACTCCAGTATGGATGAAGGTCCGGTCGGTGGAACTGGTTCTAGAAGATACCGGTTGTGCAAGTGCATGGGATGGCATAGCAAGGCTAGTTCTGGTTGTACGTCTGAGGGGGTACGGCCTGGGGAGCATTGTCTTCATGATCACGCCTGCTGGGCATGTGTCTACGTCAACATTCCCATTGTCCTAGATACATGTTGGCAACACCCAAGAGTCAGGAAATAAACGTTCTCAACTGCCCCTAAGCACGGACATTGTCCAGAATTTTTATCATTCCTCTCAAATATCTTATCTTATCCATATTACAACGGGTAGTGTGGTCACGTGTCTGGGTGTTAGATGTAGTATAGATGGGCCGTAGTATGGGAATCGCAACACCTCGTACTTTTTCTGAGGTGACCACACAGACATGTAAACTGGGGGCTTTCTCTGGACAGGAAGATACATGGTCATGGCTGTGGTGTACTGATCAGGTTGGTTTGCAGTCCAGCCACTGCTCCTTGTGTGTTTCATGGTGAAGGTAGTTCAATTGGGGTTGACGGATAGCTGCTAATTATAAAAACTTGTCATGGCAATGTTATATTCAATTTGGTTTGTGGTATATTAGTATATGAAACGAGTGTAGTCTTATTGTTTTGGCACTTTTTTGTGAAATTTCTGTACTCATGTATATTATATGTTTCTGAATGTATATAATTTCTAGTGTATCATGTAGTTTTGTGCAACGAGTAGTGTAGGACTTAATAATAGTAAAGGCCACAGGAATTGATGGAAAGGAAGATGGTGAAGCATTTTGGCCATGGGGATTTTTGAGAAACTCAAACAATGTTGGTTCTTCTGATCCTGGTGACTGTCCCTATCTCCTTAGCGAATCCCTGTCTGCCCCCGTGTAAGAGAAAAGGTTGGCTTGATTGTGTACCTTACGCACAGAAAAACCATTATTGGGAACAGCGAGGAGTGTGTATCTTATGTGAGGAACAGGGAGAGGCTGTTCTCAGGGCCAGTAACAGTTCTGTTTCTTCGGTGCCCTGCCTTCTTGACACGGAAAAGCTAGTAATAAGAGGATATCCACTTCATGTACTAGCAACCAAAAATCTACCAATCTTAAACCAATCTGCACTGTATACTTTACTGTTGTTTGTAGGATGAAAATTGAATACGTAGAGGACAACACTCTGAGTGAGTTTTTCGTGTCTTGGGAACATTGGGGGCTGGATTTACAACAGGTTGACACATGTGAAACAGAGCTGGTTCACAGGCTTGAAGGAGCTCGGCGTCCTAACTTTGTCTAATAACAGAATCGACCAGATTGACCCAGGATGCTTCGTGGACATGAAACGTCTTTTCAAGCTGAACCTCCAGCACAACCAGTTGCAGCGCATAGACTCCGCCTGGTTCGCTGGCCGAAGCCTTCCAATGTACTTGT